TCCTTAAGAAAAAAACCAGAAGGGAAGGACACTTCATGATGTATTACACGAATGGCTAATGCACCCAACAGCGCGTTTTTAACACTTAACTTCGCTACTGTAAGAGAAAGAAAAGGAAGAGACTGTCAAATAGCAAAAACGATTTACTTCAACATTACAAAGCTGAATTCGTCCTATTGTTGATAATTTTTCAAGTAAGTCTCTCTTTTAATCTGTTGGTCGTCAATTGGCGACTTTCGCCAGAATTTTAGTCGCCAAGTATTTTTTTCACTCGCCATGGCGACCAAAATGGTCGCAGCTTGGAGTGCTGTACCTCTTTGTTAAAAAAAGGAACTTTTCTCTATTTGGTTTTGTTAAGAAGTCACAATTAAGCAGAAAACAGTTCCTAAACTGTATTGAAAAAAAAACTCTATGCGTTTCCTAGGGAATTTATCGTTTGGCTTTCGGCGCACCTTCGTAGAAAAACTTTTAATTCATCGTCAGATATGAATGACAGAAAACATAAACCCCATTTTTCTCTACAGAGGTAGTAATGATGCCAGTGGGAAATAGACCAGCGTACAACAGCAATGCCAACCCACCAGAGCTCAAGTTTCAACTTTTAAAGACGAGTAATCTTCCTAACACCTCTATTGATTTGAGCGAGGCTAAGCCCCCTGTTGATATTCTGTTATTCACTGTGGAGGACTGTGAGTTCTTAAGCTGCTTTTCCCACCTGGAGGAACCCTTTAGGAGTTACCACAAAGATATTGGCTTTGTGTACGTTGGGTACATTGAGAAAATGAAAATTGCGTTGATGAGGTGTTCCAAAGGTCCTGATGTTCCTAGGGGCTCTTTGTCTACTGCAAAAGATGCCATCTTGCTATTGAGACCCAAGGCTACTATCTCCGTTGGTGCCTGTAGTGGTTTGGACAACGGAAAGGTCAAGCTAGGAGATGTGGTTATTTCATCACTGCTGATAACAGCTGACCATAAAATCCCCCCCAGTACTAATTTTATGAAATTGATAAAAGGTATGGCCGATGGGTGGAAGGCACCTTTGCAAAATGCTGATGAATATGTCAAAGTGCATTGTGATGGAGTGGTTCTGAGTGTACCAAAGGCAAACGAGCACATAATTCGTCAACATCCTGATGCATTTGCAGTTGAAACGGAAGGTGGAGGTGAGAATTGTAATGAATATAACTCACAGGCCGCCCACCCGATTAGCTCGATTGGTTAGAGCGCCGGATTGTGTTGTGCGGGAGGTCGAGGGTTCGAGCCCAGGCCAGACCAATACTCATGGTCTTAAAATAACTGAGGAGAATTTGCTACCTTTCTATAATATCAAGAAATGGATAGATATTCTAGTATTCTCGGATAAGGACGAATAAACCGTATGCCCTGTCTCCTGCAGGGTTAGGGGGAGGAGACGTTAATTTCCCACGCACGAGATTACTGTGTGGTGGATGTCGTCCTTTGGGGTGGGATGGGTGGGTTTACTGAGCCCGCAGAAATTGGCGCGAGCTGTCGCGGTGTCCCTGCCTGTCGGCAAATGTAATAAAATAAATTAGATATGTTAGCAGTGTGTCAAATTTCGCTGACTTTTTACACATGAAGCCTGTGGGAACTGATTTGAAAAAGAGTGTTCTGGAATTGTCTCTGCCGATCCAAGAAACTGCTAAAACTACTAATGATTTCCTTTATTTAACGCGACATGGATTTAAGCTTTGCAGCTTGTGAGGTCATGTATATGAATATATGTAAATGAATAACAAGCTGCGGAGACATTAATTCTTAAGTAAGTCTTCAAAAATCTACCGAAATGCGCGAATGTCACCTCTGAAAAGCGAGAAGACCCTGCTAATGTTACAGCGCCGATGCAGTCTGACGCTGCACTTCTTACTTTGTATGGTTGCCGTTCACTCATTCAGTTTCATTCAAATTTGCACATCTGCGACGTGGTAGATTTACTCCAAAAATGGGACAGTTGTAATGTTGTTATCATATCTACTTAGTGCTATCGTAAGATCCCGAATCGGAGAGCACGAGGATAGTTGCGCTAGTAAACACGAACTTTACACACCAAAAGCAAATATATCTTAAAATCTTATTGTGCTTGACATTTTAAAGCTATCATTAGAATTGAATATCCTTCATCGGGAGGTTATGAATTGTTAAAGATTTGACATCTGAAAGATCTAGAAAGCTGATAGATAGGTTGATTAAGCTTGAGGAATGGTTTTACAGTCTCTATGCAAGCGTCACTCAGTACAATCATCAGTTGCAGAAATTAGCCTTGAGTATGACTAACGTCCTCCGATGTTCATTTTTACATAATACTTAGGGTGCAAATCTTGGTAAACTTTCCATTAAAAAATATCTCTGTGAAATGATTTAAAGAGGAAATATAAACAAACGTTTTTCTCTTTCTCCAGGCCTTTTCACCGCATCTTTTGATTTTAAAATGGAATGGCTTGTGGTCAGAGGCATCAAAGACATTAGAGGTAAAAAGCAGTTTTCAAATGAGGAGAAGTGGAAGGAGGTTGCTTGTGTGATGGCGGCATCTCTTGTGGCCCACAATTTGAGGGATTCGATCCCGTTCAAAGATTGGCCTAACCTTGATGCAGGTATTATTTTCTGTCTTAATCTGTCTTTTCTTTTTAAAGGGATAGATCTGATTCAGATTTCAGTTCCCGCAGCATATTCTTGTGTGCATTACAAATTGAGATGATATATTTCTATCTGTAAAAGGACACCAATAGAAAATCAAGTAAATCGCGTTCAACTCGATATCACCTAAAAGACTCGACAGTATTCTTCTTCTTTGAGGTTTTAAAATTGCAACGCAAGGCAAGATGTATAAATAGTACCAATATTCTGAAGTTACGTACACCGTTCAAAGGAAATTGTCTGAATTCTATTTCTCTAATTGTTGACTGAGTGAAAAGAGTCATCATGTGTGTATATACTCTGCAAGTCACACAAAGGGTACCTCGAAAAATTTGTTTTCGACATTTGGTGGTGATAAAAAGGATTTTTTTCTTGAGACGATATTTAAAACAGCTGCACAGACGTTTGCAAAACGATGTAAATCATCTCAGTTCAAGTTTCCTCTTAGAGAGTGTTTTACCGTTCGAATCAGCGAATTATGCCCAATAGATCCGAAGATAATTTTTTTTAGTTCTTGCCGTGACACCACAAAAAAAGATAAGCATCTCCAAATGATTTCATAGTGGCGTCTCTGGCACGAAATTGAAATAAGACTTTTCCTCTCTGAAATATGTAAAAAGGTTTGATTTACACATCGTGGAAACTTTGTAGAAAAATTTTATTTATTCGAAAAGAGAGCACTTTACCATTTCAATCAGCGACAAATGCTCAAACTGGAGCCGCTAACTAGGGACTTTAAGCAACGAGAACGGGGACGGCGACGGGACCGCAGGCTCTCGGGGAAAATCCAAATAACTATCTGCGGATGACTGGCGGGAAAAAGTTTGACGTTTTGCGTTCGGGCCCGACGTGAAACGAGTCAATTTGACGTTGGCCGAAAACGTGAGTATTCCTTTCTCTGCAATCGACCTGAGCATTCCTTTCTCTGCTATCTAAACGTTAAATATTCCCAGGAGACAATCAAAAATAACTTTCATAGCTTTTTTCTTTCATAAAGTGAGATTATTCTTTAAATTGATGGTTTGTTTTTAAACAGAAACGTCGAGACTTACACCATTGACGAACATGTAAGTAAGAAATTGTAATGTAAACAAGCTTGGCTCACACTGATTTCAATCGAAAATTATCCGCTGAGAATCACTCAAAAGTCAAACAGTTTGATAAAGAAGATATTCTTGCCAGATTTAAAAGTGCAGACAGCACTATAACTTCTCTAGCCGTTTTGGTTTTTTTATCTTCCAGCACAACAAACATCTTACGAGAATGTATTCTTCCAATTTACTTCGTAGGATTATGAAGCTGTATGTTAGGTTTTATAACGTATTTTTGGGTTCACTGACATCACAACGGCAGAGCCTGTTTTGAAGGCGAATCCAGTGGTTCGTTTAACTCCCCAATCTGCATTTACTGCAACAAAAACTTTAAATTTATTGACTGTGTATCGCTTGTAAATATGTTCGAGATTGTGAAGGTGAAAATAATCCAATGCACTTTTAAAATAAGGAAAAAATATCTTGACGTTTCGAGGCTTCAGTCGCTTTATCTTCCGCAGATGATAGCATTTAATAAACTAGTCTGTATTTTTATAGAAAGGGACAATTTAAAAAAGGTTATACAATTTTATTATATAGGTTTCGTGGCTTTTTTTTGTGTGAATTAAACCAGCCGAACTTGTTATTAAATCATGAAAAGTTGCCCTGTACTCTGCAGGCTATTATTTTTTCTTAAGTCGAAAGGTGACCCTATGATAAGTGTGTTTTGTCAGCTGTTTTGTACTGGCAGTTCAATCTACTTTGTTTATGTTTAAGGTCGACTACTCCAATGTACTGGACGAAAGATCACGATTTACTTTTAGTAAGAGAAGTGCTAATTGTTGATCCGTATAGCCAGCCGAAGGGAAGTAGGGAGAGAGCGAGACTGTGGGAAGAAATTGCCTCAAACCTGAGTGCAGTGTCTGAGCCCCGTTTCTCAGTTTCTTTGAGGTCTGTGAGAGACCGTGTAAACCTGGTTCTAATAAAGAAACACAAAAGAAAGG